TGGACCTCATGATCTGCTCTCTTGTTGGTGGTGGTGGTGGTGGTGGACCCCATGATCTGCTCTCTTGTTAGTGGTGGTGGTGGTGGACCCCATGATCTGCTCTCTTGTTAGTGGTGGTGGTGGTGGACCCATATCTTGCAGGTTGCTTCACCATCTTCACTACACCTTCACCATCTTCACTACACCTTCACCATCTTCACTACACACCTTCACCATCTTCACTACACCTTCACCATCTTCACTACACCTTCACCATCTTCACTACACACCTTCACCATCTTCACTACACCTTCACCATCTTCACTACACCTTCACCATCTTCACTACACCTTCACCATCTTCACTACACCTTCACCATCTTCACTACACCTTCACCATCTTCACTACACCTTCACCATCTTCACTACACACCTTCGCCATCTTCACTACACCTTCACCATCTTCACTACACCTTCACCATCTTCACTACACACCTTCGCCATCTTCACTACACACCTTCACCATCTTCACTACACCTTCACCATCTTCACTACACCTTCACCATCTTCACTACACACCTTCACCATCTTCACTACACACCTTCACCATCTTCACTACACCCTTCACCATCTTCACTACACACCTTCACCATCTTCACTACACACCTTCACCATCTTCACTACACACCTTCACCATCTTCACTACACCTTCACCATCTTCACTACACACCTTCACCATCTTCATTACACACCTTCACCATCTTCACTACACACCTTCGCCATCTTCACTACACCCTTCACCATCTTCACTACACACCTTCACCATCTTCACTACACACCTTCACCATCTTCACTACACACCTTCACCATCTTCACTACACACCCTCTCGACCAACCACTTGGGCTGGACGGTATAGATCGACCGTCTCGCCTCATGCAGGTCGGCGTTCAATCCCCCGACCGTCCCAAAGTGGTTGGGCACCATTCCTTTCCCCCCGTCCCATCCCAACTACATGTTTAATGAGGATAGTTTTGCTGTTGTATGGGGTAGGGACAAGGACGGTGGGTCGTGGTTGACGCCTGTCCCATCTAGTCTATCCCCCCCCCCCTTGAAGGGGGGATAGACCCCCCCTCACACCCCCTATTTATAAGTCCGTGGATGTGAAATATGTCGTGCAAACTCCGTAGAGTGTAGCGTTCGTTTAAATTTGAGTGTACTCTGATGGAAAACGAATATCCGTATGTCGTCCCATCCGGCCTGCACCACCTGTGGTACCATCCGGCCTGTACCACCATCCGGGCCAGTGCCAGCTGTCGTACCATCCGACCTGCACCACCTGTAGTACCATCCGGCCTGTACCACCATCCGGGCCAGTACCAGCTGTCGTACCATCCGGCCTGTACCACCATCCGGGTCAGCACCAGCTGTCGTACCATCCGGCCTGTACCACCAGCTGTGGTCCCATCCGGCCTGTACCACCAGCTGTGGTCCCATCCGGCCTGTACCACCAGCTGTGGTCCCATCCGGCCTGTACCACCAGCTGTGGTCCCATCCGGCCTAACTAATATTACGTGTATCTGGGATATTAATATAAGACAAGCGGCGGAGGCTCAACTTATATTGTTCACGACTTATATATATTAATATTATATCGTTGTATTGTTTAAGGAGTCTACTGCACGTCAACGATGGGGAGCACGACGAGCAACACCTCCAAGGCTGGTGAGGGGCGTGTGAGTGAAGAACAGCAGGAGGAGGAGAAGAAACAGGAGGAGAAGAACAAGAAGAAAGAGGAGGAGAAGAAGGAGGAAGGAGGAGGAGGAGGAGGAGGAGGAGGAGAAGAAGAAGGAGGAGGAGGAGGAGGAGGAGGAGAAGAAGAAGAAGGAGGAGAAAAGAAGAAGAAGAAGAAGAGGAGGAGAAGAAGAGGAGAAGAAGGAGGAGGAGGAGAAGAAAGAAGAAGGAGGAGAAGAGAAGAGGAGGAGAAGGAGGGAGGAAGGAGGAGAAGAAGAAGAAGAAAGAGGAGGAGAAGAAGAAGAAGAAGGAGAAGAGGAAGAGAAGGAGAAGGAGGAGGAGGAGAAGAAGAAGAAGGAGGAGGAGAAGAAGAAGAAGGAGGAGGAGAAGAAGAAGAAGAAAGAGGAGAAGAGGAAGAAGAAGGAGGAGGAGGAGGAGGAGAAGAAGAAGAAGGAGGAGGAGAAGAAGAGGAAGGAGGAGGAGGAGAAGAAGAAGAAAGATGAGAAGAAGAGGAAGGATAAGGAGGAAGAGGAGAAGAAGGAGGAGGAGAAGAAAGAGGAGAAGAAGGAGGAGAAGCAGAAGGGTGTTGAGAAGGCAGGTGACCGCACCACAGGCAACAAGAACAAGAAGAACAAGAAGCGCCCCGTGTCCCCAGAGATAAAATGGTTCAAGACGGTAGTGACAGATCTCTGCGGCTGTCTCTTTGGCCCCATCTGGTGCCCGGCGGTAGTCATCCTTGCTGCCGCTGCGGGCTGTGTAGTGCTGTGTCGCCGCTGCTGCCGCCGCTGTGCCACGGCTGCAGCCGGCAGCAACCCTGATCTCCCTGAAAAGGCAAAATGATTCCCCCCAAACAGAAGCGCCTACCACCTCCAAACGGTACCATGATATCCACTGCGTGTCCTGTTGGTCACACGGGAGAGGCAGCAGTACCATGATATCCCTCGCAACTGCGTGTCCTGTTGGTCACAACGGGAGTGGCAGCAGTGTGTGTGTGTGTGTGTGTGTGTGTGTGTGTGTGTGTGTGTGTGTGTGTGTGTGTGTGTTGTGTGTGTGGTGGGAACAAAAGAGCTCTGGCTCAACCGCCTCTTAACTGTCAATCAACTGGTGTACAGATTTCTGAGCCTACTGGGCTCTATCATATCTACATTTGAAACTGTGTATGGAGTCAGCCTCCACCACATCACTGCCTAATGCATTCCATCTGTTAACTACTCTGACACTGAACAAGTTCTTTCTAACGTCTCTGTGGCTCATTTGGGTACTCAGTTTCCACCTGTGTCCCCTTGTTCGCGTCCCACCCGTGCTAAAGAGTTTGTCTTTGTCCACCCTGTCAATGCCTCTGAGAAATTGTGTAGGTAGTGATGGTGTGTGGGTGTGGTAGTGGACCCCATACCCATCCTGTGGGTGGTAGTGGACCCCATACCCAGCCTGTGGGTGGTAGTGGACCTCATACCCATCCTGTGAGTGGTAGTGGATCCCATACCCATCCAGTGAGTGGTAGTGGACCCCATACCCATCCCGTGAGTGGTAGTGGACTCCATACCCATCCTGTGGGTGGTAGTGGACCCCATACCCGTCCTGTGAGTGGTAGTGGACCCCATACCCATCCTGTGAGTGGCAGTGGACCCCATACCCGCCCTGTGAGTGGTAGTGGACCCCATACCCATCCTGTGAAGCCTTAGACTCAAGTATGTTGTAAAGTCTTAAGAGACTCAAGTTCAATTAAGGATGAGAGGAAAAGGACACAGATAATCAATGTGTGATTTTTTTGGAGACAAGAAACATTTGAGAAGACACATTGTGGTAGGGAGGAATGTGAGGCTAGGGGAAGGAGGGGCTAAGGGTAGGGGGAAATGGGGAGAAAGGGGGAAGGGGAGGTTCATAGGGAGTGGGGGGCAGTTGGCACGTGGTTCAGACCCATCCCTCCCTTTCTCCTTTACCCACACAACCCTCCCTACGCCACCACACACACGTTAAATATGTATTTCTAATTCTGGTGTGTCAAAGTGTTGAGGTACTTGGCCACACCTGTCACTCTGTACCCTACACCTGTCACTCCGTACCCCTACACCTGTCACTCTGTACCACTACACCTGTCACTCTGTACCCCTACACCTGTCACTCTGTACCCCTACACTTGTCACTCTGTACCCCCTACTTCTGTCACTCTGTACCCTACACCTGTCACTCTGTACCCTACACCTGTCACTCTGTACCCCTACACCTGTCACTCTGTACCCCTACACCTGTCACTCTGTACCCTACACCTGTCACCCTGTACCCCTACACCTGTCACTCTGTACCCCTACACCTGTCACTCTGTACCCTACACCTGTCACCCTGTACCCCCTACACCTGTCACTCTGTACCCCTACACCTGTCACTCTGTACCCCTACACCTGCCACTCTGTACCCTACAGCTGTCACTCTGTACCCTACACCTGTCACTCTGTACCCCTACACCTGTCACTCTGTACCCCTACACCTGTCACTCTGTACCCCTACACCTGTCACTCTGTACCCCTACACCTGTCACTCTGTACCCCCCTACACCTGTCACTCTGTACCCTACACTTGTCACTCCGTACCCTACACCTGTCACTCCGTACCCTACACCTGTCTACACAATGCTATTAGGCCAAGTCCTGCGCGCGCGAGTGTTCGAGCGCGCACTTGACACACTGGGCATATCTGACACACACACCTGTCTCTGGTGACAGGTGTGAGATGGGCAGATGAGTGGCTGTCAAGGGATACTTGGGGCAAAGAAGTGTCAAGATACAGTACACCTCAAACAGTACACCTTACATAGTACTCCTTACACAGTACACCTCAAACAGTACACCTTACATAGTACTCCTTACACAGTACACCTCAAACAGTACACCTTACATAGTACTCCTTACACAGTACACCTCATAACTGTCAACCAGTCGACCCAGAGTTGCCAAACAGCTTAGGTTTTGATCCCATGGTTTACATCCCCTGTCACTTAACCTATACCGTTGATAGGTTAAGTAATAATTGTAAATAAGAAGCAATAAGATGCTTATCTTAACATACTAAGAAGGTTAGGTGAGGTCGGTGTTTTCTATGAAGTTTTTCAAGGTAAACTAAAATATTCACAATCAATTAGTATGTCACATATGCACTTATTAAATAAGCCAATATTAACAATAAGCAAGTGCGAGAACGGGTTGTCCCAGGCCCTCAGGGACCCAACTGGTGATTGAGAATCGTCTAAGAAACGCCCCAAAAGGCTCGCCTCACAACAGAAGACTTCAACTCAC